TGTCGACATTCTTATCAAAAATCAACAGACGATGAAATGTGACGTGATGCCGTAAAAATAGCACGCCTCCTTCCAGAAGTCGCAAGCGTGCGCATGCGTAGTAGCAGAAGTTACATTTTCGGTAGGTGTAACATTTTCGGTAGTGACACGGGCATCAGGGAGCCGCTATCAATATGCGGGAGACTCCCGGAACTTCCGGGACACTTGGGATGTCTGCCTCCTCCTACACTCTGGGCACAGCTACCTCCGTAATGTTTTCGCGTTGGGATCACATAGCATGGCTCCAGGGTGTTCCCAAAACGTCTGGTTGTATTTTGCATGATACTCCCCCTCGGAAATGTCGATTTTTGGAGCTAGAAATCAATATAGTACATCATGAAAGGAAATTTAAATTTAAAAGAAATTTAAAACGTGCCTGTATATTCTTTAGGCTATTAAGCCCACTGTCCTTTATTTTTAAGCCTATTTTTGCGTGGAATGCCATTGCCAAACCTGTCCGTTGTTGCCTATATATGTTGCTTAAAAATAAATATTTTCTGTTCTGACTGGCAATGTTGCCGTTGCTCATATTTCTTTATGACATAAGGCTTCGGTTTAAGGTGACATTTGTTAGGCATGCAGCTTATTTGTTCCTGTTTTAAATTGGATCGAGCGTGGAGCGATTTGACTGGAGCGGGAGGAAATTTTAGTGGAGCGAGGAGCGGTGTTGAGCAGAGCGAATTAGAGCGGAGGAGCGGGCGGAGCCAACAGCTTCGTCAGCGAGGAGCGGAAATTCTCACCGCTCCACTCCACTCACATGCTCTGGTGAAGACTCTTCAGCCAATCAGTCTTCTAATTTGTAATCTAATTAGGGAGTTGCAGCGAAAACCCACATACAAACCGGCCCTTTGCGGATAAGATTGGCCACCCCTGCCCTAGATAAATGACAAATTGATTTGTACCTGTTACATAATGATTTTTTTCTTGTTTATTTTGTTGAAAATCTATCTTCTGATGTTGAAAAAAACATACCATTGAAATTATAGACCTCATTTCTTTATATATGGGTGAACTTAGGAATTCAATTGGGAGGGTCAAATTATTATTTCCCTCACTGTAAATGATACGCCAATAACCTATAGGCATGTATCGCAAATTATCACTGCAATCCAATGAATCACTTATAGCGTCCTTTTGCACATTATAGGATTAAAATAGCACTTGTATATATTAACTAAGATATGAAACAACTAAAAAAACTTTTGAAGACATAAGAAAGGTATAAGACAGGAAAACCTTAACGTCTGTGCTTTACATGCTACTGGAGGCTCCCTATTCCGCAATAAAAGGCATATGCATCAAACTAAAGTCACCGGATGGTGAGTTCAGTGTAAACTGATATGGTATATTGAAATAAAGGTCAATTACTGCAAACAATATACTGTACTGTCCTTCCTTCGTTGACCCAAATAAATTAGGCAGTCATTAAACAGGCAGGTGGTTAAGTGGGGGGATTCATATATGGTATAGTTTAAATGCAGTGTAATTTCACAGTGTAAACAATAGAAACAGTGCAAAACATACATCACAATTAGATGGGATGATTTTTTTAAAAAGGGCAGATGTTATTTGCACCCAGGTGTCAGTAGCCAACAATTCTATATTATTATTGTTGTTGTTTGTTTGTATTATTATATTATTGTCACGTTGTTGTTGTTATTATTATTATTATTATTATTATCAGTAGTAGTAGTATGCTTTATATATTTGTATCAGACTTTGGTGCCTTCAGCCATTAAAGTGACATGCAACCATGCAAACCACTTGCTCTGGTGCAAATGGACACTTTCAAAAAAATATGTTGTGTGGGAGATCTGGTAGGACAGAAACTGTTTCAGAGAATGACCAAGAGTTATTTCTGACAGGTCTTTTAAGTCCGTTTCCTCCAAATTCCTCCCACAATCCAAAGACGCATGATTCAACAACAGTTCTGGAATCTGCAGTGCTACCCAATAAGCCACCATGATGCCTGAGAACTATCTTTTGACACTCTGCTGCCTATACTGGAAAAGTGGCTGTATGATGGATGGATGGATCTATGGCAGGGGTGGCCAATCTTATCCACAAAGGGTCGCTGTGTGTGTGGGTTTTCGCTGCAGCTCCCTAATTATATTACTAGTTCGAGGACTGATTGGCTGAGGAGTCCTCACACCTGGGTTTGAACAGCTGACCTAAAGGTTACCCCAAAAACCTGCATACACACCGGCCCTTTGCGGACAAGATTGGCCACCGCTGATCTACAGTATGGTATCCTGTACTTTTTACACAATGATTAGATTTCAGTATCGATACCTGAGCAAAATCAAAGATCACAGGAATATCAATAGAAAATGTAATTTCTTGAACT